AGCTGTAATGTTTGTTCCAACAGCTGCCTGTTTTTCTTCCTAAGAAGGACTTGTTGCTGTCAGGAGTTAAGCTCTCGCTGCAGAGATATTTTCCTTAAACTCTGCAAAGAACTGTTGTTTATTTGTACTTTGGCTTTAGTCCAGTCTTCTTCCTTGTGTGCTGGTAGGATTTGTGTATTGCGAAGAGTTCCTACAATGCTCTCTTGTCCATCTAGACTTTGATCTAGAGAGGGGGTTTTTTCTGTCGTTAACAGGATTTGGGTTAACTGAGTCCTGAAAGGTCTTGATTCAAAGCTTCTGTATGTGGTCTCTAGCATAGAAAACTTTACTATGACTCATCCGTTTTCTTTGAATTTTTGTTTTCACTCCTATATTTTACTTGTAGATAACATTTTTTTCCCCAGTGCTTCCGGCTGTGCTTATATGCGGGTCCTAAATGCAAGAGCAGAGTTGGGGTTTTTTGCATATGTCCTTGTGCAGTGAGAGGTAGGATGCAGGTAACATCGTGTTGTGGGGACTTGGGTGTCTCTATGGTATCCAGTCAAATAACTCCACCACATAAACCAGGTGGATCCAAGTTGCGTATGTAAGTGAGTTTAGGTGCCAGAATGCTAAAACAAAGACTGCAGATGTAAGCAAAGTTCTTACCTTTGCAAATTTTCTGATCATTGCATGTTTCAAAATCTGCATCCTACAGTGCTTTGCTATACGCTTGTGTAGCGTACACCCTAACGTGGAGCTTTGAGGTGCTGGTGGTACAAGGTACCGCAGGTTTCGTTAGTGAACGCAATTTTTAATGTTAAAGTTTTGGAGGACTTTGGATGAATGGTCTGTGTCTTGGAAACAGTGATACTTGTTGATATTTTTGCTTTGTTCCTTTATTTTATTTTTTCAGGAAGGAGGTTGCAATGCAAATGTAAAAGTCACCAAATATATTTCACTTTAATCATGTGGCAAGGCCATTTATATTTCTGCATTATATTGAGTGTGGAAGCTGTCTTTCTGGTGGAGAAGCAGACTTGTTTTCTGAAGTTTCTTTAGCTTGCTTCAAGCAGGGATGCTGACTTCTTAAGTTTTGGGTTTTTTAATTAATATTTTATGCAGATTTTGCATTGTAGTGCTTACAAAGGAAAGTAGATCAGTTAAATTTCTATATTTATAAGCATGCCTGGAACCATTTTATTGCAGATATTTGACAGTGCCTTATGGCAGCTTGCAGTGAGTTGAGGCGTTTCATCTGTGGCGTGTGTTTAACCCCGGCTATCTTGCGGTTGCTGTGGGGCAGGGATTAGTTCCGTGTAAGCTTCTCGAAGCGTGTTGGTTCCTCCTGTCTGTTCCAGTTCCTGGGTACTACAGGGCTGTAAAGAGTGATGGCCATTGCAAGTTGAGAGTCTTTAGGGGTTTTTGGTCTTTGAAACTGATTTTGTGCTGGCTGCGTGACAGCAATCTCTTTATAATTACTGCACTTTCTTCTTTTTCCCTCTAAAGAAAGCACAGAGATGCTCTTTAACTATGAGAACATCCTAAACCTGATGTTGTCATACAGTGCTGCGAGGCTGTGCTTACAGCTGGGGCAGCAGGCAGACAGCATCCTCTGGGTATCGCTAGTGCAAACGAAGGGTGTGCTGTGGGTATCCTTCTGCCCTACACCACCGCGGTGCGAGCGCCTGAGCTCTACCTTGGTACGCTATTCAGGCAACTGAACTAAGAAATTCAGGGCTGTCTCTAATGTGGTACCTGGTTTTATTTACAAAACCGGCAATAATACATGGAAGCTCTTGTATTTTGTGGTTCTGTTCAGCACATCACTACCCCAAAGTGGCAGCAATACTCATGCCAGGAGTTAGTTATCTAGAGTAAAACGTTTATTGGAGAATTGTTTCTCCCCTCCTATAGCTTGATCCTTTTCTCAGTGTCTTCCATCCAGTCTCGTGAGTTAAATCATTAAAAGGCAGCCATAATTAGTAATGTAAAACATTAAATATATTTCTGTAAAAATATTCTGCTGTAGTATTTACATATATTTCTTAAAGGTGAATTACTCTTAAAGAAAATATTTCTTTTTTCCACCCAAGGATTGGGGGCTGGGGTGGCGCAGTGGAAATGTGTGTCGCATTCAGCCTCCAGAATATGCAGGACCTGAGCATTCAAATAGGTTGCAGCTGTCTTCATCCAGGGTATTGGGAAATAACTAATGAGATGAGAGGTCTGCAGCTGGTGGCAAGTGCTGTAAATTGTGTGCCCTCCGCTCGCCTCCCCACTGGTTTCCTGGAGGAGACGGGCTGCGAACAAAGCCAGCGGGCTGTCGTGCTCGGTGCCGTTGCTCACGCAGCAGCAGCGGAGAGCTCTGTACTCTATGCCAAAGCTATCGTATGTGGAGGAGGATGTTTGTTCGTTTTGATGTCTGTAAAAAGGACATGTGCTTTATTCCAGTAAAATCCTAAGTGGGTTTTCACTAAAATTCAGATGACAAATACTGCTTTTATAGTAATTTAAGTGGACTTACACTTAAGTGTTACTGACTTTGCATGTTAATGTACAGTGGTTATGCCGATTCCTCAAATTGTCCCCATGAGGTAGGTGAGGTGTTATCTTAGTGCCTGTGGGAGCACCCTGCTAAAGCTGGCTAGCTATTACCTGGGTTCTTTAAATAAACATGTTGTTTCAGTTTAGAGGGAGAAAAAGAGGAAAACACTGTTTTGTGGAAGTTCGTAAAGCATATTGATTAGCGACGTGATTGAATGTCTTTTGACTTGCATTTCTAGGAATACTTGCTCTTAAAGTGTATATCTGAATGCTTAATATGGAAGTTTGTCTGAGTACCTATTAATGCTTTCTAGATACATTAATTACAGAAGGGCTGGGGAAAAAAAATATTAAAAGGTTTCTTCAGCCTGTTTTAATACATAGTGTAGGTCTGTGCATTAAAAGAACTGGGAACAATTAAAGAATTGGGGAGCAGAAAGTATCAGAGAATGAAATCAGATTCCTCTGAGAGGACCTCCTGCATTTTCCAGTTCCATCTAGCTTGCGAGACGTGCATTGTAAATGTCAAAGTGGTTATGAAGGCATTGATAACTGATTTGTATAGCCTTGCTCTGTGGATTTGGAATTCCAGTCTAGAAGTAGCCTTCATTCTGCCATCCTAATGGAAGAACCTAGATTTGAAAACAGGCGTGTTAGACGTGGTGTTCAGTACTTCCACCAGCTGAAACAATGCCTTCATACGATAGCTCCTCCTTTGTGTGTGCACAAGTGCCATCTGTGGAATTCAAGTTACACAAGTTAAACATGAAGGATAGGGCAATGGACCTGTTTTGGGAAGGCTGAGGAAGGGCGGTTGGAATTCTTCAGTGTAGATTGGTTTTCCCAGGTTCATTTGGGATTTTCCCGGTGAATAAATATGGAGAATAAATATGAAATCCCTCCAGAACAATGGGAGAGGAAATAGTTTTGCACAACTCATAATTCCTTAGTTGCTAATTATCACGGGGTGAAACTGAGGCCAAGAATAAAAGTGAAGAGGAATACTCGAAGGAATACCTCTGTAACGGAAGGGTTTGTGTCCTTCCAGAAGAAAACCCCACAGAACTGGGAAAACCAAACTGTTCACTGCTCAGATTGGCAGCTCTGTCTTGGGTTATTTGCATCCTCCCGTGAAGCCTCTGCTACTGGCCGCTAAGGAGGAGATTAGAGTGGTCTCCTGTCTATCTCCATCTGACAATTCCCGCTCTGTGAGGTAGCAGTGTTTGGGTTTATTTTACATGGGCTTCTCTTCATGCCTTTGCCTACAAGAACTTTGTAACTGGGTCATCTAGGGAAACCAGTTCTCCAAAACACACCGCTTCTGCAGCGGCCCTGTAGTTAGATGGTTTCAGTATGCCTCGGAAGAAACATCAATATTTCAGCTTTAATATTCAGAAAGCCTTTTTTTTTTTTTATTTACACGTATCTTGCTGCCGCTTGTATTTAATTTTGAACACAGGGGGGATACATTAGAAAGGTGAAGGTTTAGTTTTAATTAATCTTGGAAGCAGTTTACAAATGTGACCCCTTGTGACAGCTCTCTGATGCAGGAGTAGGGGGGATGCTGGTGCCTACTTTTCTGGTGGTATTTCTTTCACTCTGTGTTTTGCAAATTTTGTCCTCATTGAAATTTGTTTTTAAAAGTGAGACTTTAAAGTCTGCTAAACTGTCTTGGGCTTTTCTGTTGCACCCACCAAGCATGTCTTCTGCTTTAAAGTAACTTAAACTTTTGCAGGTCTCATTGGATGCATGGGTGTAATGGTAGGTTTAGGTGGATGGTTTTCATACATTGTGTAAACCTGTTACTGAGGTTAGAGTTTTTAACCCTTTCCTAATTTCCAGTGTAGCATCTTCATTTAATAATCATTTTCATATCCCTCATCAGTAAAATTAAGTAAATCCATATGTTGGAAGCATTTGTCATCTTTCAACTCTATTGATATTTGGTTTTCCTCCACCGTATATAACTTTGCTGTAAAGCACTGCCACTGAGACCACTGCCTTGTGCCCTCTCTGTGCTTGGTGATGTCTCACGGACTGAGGTGATGCAGTTTCTAATTATGTAAGTTAGTTCACTTATGCCTTCTTCCCTTTCTCTTCTGCATTCTCAGGAGTGGACACGCTGCAGCTTGGGTAATGTCAGCGCACTGTTTTCTGTATGACTGCTTTCTCTTCCTCTCAGGAGTTTACAAACCCGATAGGATAGTGCTTATGTCGTACAGCAGCTAGCACAAGAAAATTCTGACCCAGAATGCAGCCCTGGCGTGCTGTTGTGGTATAAACAGGTCATGAGCACCACTGGTGATATGCAGTGAATGACTGGGTGTGATGGAGCATTCCACACAAACGTACGTCGAACTAACTCCACCCATCCTGCTCCAGGCCACTCAGTCTTGAACAGAAGCTTAATACAGTGGGATATTGAATCTGTTGGGGGTTTTTTCTGACTCTTGGGGGTTTTTTTTATACTCTAGGACTACAAAGCTGATGAAGACCCCGCGTTATTCCAGTCAGTTAAGACGAAGAGAGGACCTTTGGGGCCAAATTGGAAGGTACTAAGAACTGATGTTACAACCTTGTCAAGTCTTTATGAGCAGAAAAAAAGTAGTTCACAGTTCCTTAGAAATGAACACTAGCAATATTAGTCTTAAAAAAGAAGGAAGAAGTTCAATACTACTTTTCTTTTTTGTATTCAGTTAAAATTCTAAACGTCTTAGTAAGCAAAGGCACTGTCTGCTACTTGTTTAATATCACTGCTAAAACCAAAGCTATGCAAAGTAAATTGGATTAAAGTTATCCTTACTCAAGATTGACATCTGAGTATACACTATGATGAATTCCATGGAAGTCATCAGCCTGCTGTGGTAGCCACTGGAGGTGACTTAAAATGCAAAAAATAAGTTGGAAACGTCCTTACATTTAAAAGTTTATAACTGTGTGTTTCTTAGAGCAGGGTAAAAGATAGTACGTGTGTGTGTTTTATTTAGAATTACCAAAAAAATAGCAGAAGATAGTGGCAACTAAATCTAAGCTTGTCTTCTCCTTGCCTTATTGAATATCTAGGTATTTTTCTCTTGTGTGGAGTGTATACAAAACACACATGAAAACCTCCAGTATTTCGTCATAAATGTTTCCCCTCAGTGAGATAATACACCCCGCTTGCATTTGTGCATGTGTGTGTGCAGGCACAGATCCATCCACCCTGTTCCTGAAATTTTCAGTCTGGCGTATGTAATCTCAGTTGGTTTGGGGACTCAACTGTCCACGTTCTTTAGTCATTTCCCAACTTTCTAATAAGTACAGTCCTTGTGTAGCCACAGGAAGATGACTTAACCAAAGCTTTATTTCAAGGTAAGGCTATCTCGTCTTTTACCAGGGCTGCAGTTACCCCGTCCGTGTGAGCAGAGCTGCAGCTGGCTGCGGTTTTATGCTGTTGAGAGAAGCAAACCAGAGGGGTGGTTCTCTGCCCTGTGCTCTCCGACCCGTTCCCAGCATGCGGTGTCCCACCATCGCGCTGAGCCACTCCGGTTATAACAGCTTTTGCACAGTAGACCCAGAAGTAAAAAATAATCTGGTGCTGTGGTAGTCAAGCTTCATTGTCCTTTCAGAATGTCAGAAAGTGTATTACAGTGGAAATCATGGCACTGAACTCCATGTTAGGACTAGGATATATAGTATATGTTTGCAGCGTGGGTGGAATAGTCTTACAGATTTCACCTGGTTAAGTGTTAATCCCTATTACCCTGGGTTCAAAGTATAGTGCTAAGTATTTACTTAGAATTCTAAGTATTATTATAATTCTTAATAATATTTAGAATTTACAATTATAATAAAATAATTTACTATGAATTAATAGTATAGTTTATAATTATAATATGCTTAGGATTATACTTTCTGATAATTATATTAAATTGATTTGACTGAAGTAAACTTTTACAAAATTAAAAATTCCTTCCCGTTATCCATAACAGAAAGAGCTAGCAACTGACGAAGAGTGTCCCAAAATGTGTGCTTACAAGTTGGTGACTATCAAATTTAAATGGTGGGGACTGCAGAACAAGGTTGAAAACTTTATACAAAAGGTAAGTGCTTGTCCCTTGCGGGGCTGCTCCTGGGGAGGTGGGGCTGGAGGTAGGCAGGGAGGGAGGCAGGGTGGTTCTGTGTTGATGTGGGGGTTTGGGGGAGAAACAGCAATGAAGTTCCCTATTGCTTACCACCGAACAATTGCTGTTTATTTCTTCAGCAAGTACGGCCGTTTGCATCTGGATCTGCTAGCAATGGAGTTTCACTGGTGGTGCTAGAATAACTAAGCTAAAAAAGCAAAAGTATGAGCAGAGTCTGTCGTGTGGGTGTCGCACTTGATTTTGTAAGCAGCAACACTGGCCAGGAAGAGAGATCTTTGATTCTTTTTTTTTTTTTTTTTCCTTCTAAGTTGAAAGTTGCATAAAGTGTGCTGATTCTCTAATGTTTGTTTATCTTCTTAAAGCAAGAAAAAAGGATATTTACCAACTTCCATCGCCAGTTGTTCTGTTGGATTGACAAGTGGATTGATCTGACTATGGAAGACATTAGGAGAATGGAGGACGAAACCCAAAAGGAGCTGGAAGCGGTAAGAATGCTTTTTTTTTCTTTAAGGTTGATGTTTGTGTGCTCTCTACCTGGAGCTCTACTGTTCATCTGTTCGGGAATTGATGCAAACTACGCTGTGTCCACCCCCTTGTGTGTGTTTTGGCAATTGCTCGTGAACATTACAGTCCCATGAGTGATTCTCCTGTGTAGAGCCATGCACTTCAAGCTTCTGCGTACTGTGCTGTGCCAAGCTGGAAGTGGCTGTGAGGTAAATATTTCTGATGTCACTAAATCCAGAATGTCTGCGCCGACCACCTCTTTATTTATGGTACCATACCCATTGCACAAAGTCCCATCTAGTGCCTTTGTCAGTTAGAATTCAGAGCTGTTGTCTTGCTTCTCCATCATGTGTCTTGCTTTGTTTTGTTTCTAATCATTGTTAGATCTCATTACTTGTTCTCTTCAAACACGTCTTCAAGCAAGCTTGAATATGTCACGGCAGCTGTTCTGCTCATCCTGATTAACACGCCGAACCCGAGCATTTCACTTGCAAAAAGGAAGTCAGTAAAATTAACAGGCTTACGATGTGTTAATTTTTGTGCTTTAGTGGCTGTGAGGACCAAATCCATATACCCTGGTCTGCCTTTGAACTGATGTCTAGAAGGAAACTCGTCCATAGGGAACTGTGTCTACTCTTTCCTTTAAGAGGTAGAGGAACATTACAGGCTAGGCAGGAAGCTTTCTTCTGTAGCGTCTTTCCAGAGCATGACCTTTGGCATGACCCTTTCTCATCCTGCTATTTTTTAATGTTCTTGCAGTCTCTGGATTTGCAGTTCTACTTCCTTCCTGTTTCACCAGTTGCCTTGTGCCCCAAACCCATTCAACTTGTCACTTTACTTCCATTGTCTTGGTTCTTTCAAGACATGATGTGTCTTCAGCTATAACTTGTGTTTTTGCATGATTTCACTAATTTCAGCTGCCAGACATCTTTAAACAGATGCCTGGTGCTTTAGACCTACTGCGGACAGTGGTTCTAAAATGCATTTTGTGGTTTGTGCCCAGCACGTCTTTTCTTTTAGTATCAAAAATAGCTGCAACTCCTCCATCCCCACTTGTTCTGCTCTCCATGTCTGGACTATATGGACTGCGTGGAGCCATCCTGCCTGGTGTAGAGATGTTTTCTGGATTTGGAAGAAGTGTTTCTTCACTGTCTGTGTGTTAATAGGCAGATGTTCTGGGCTGGTAAAACCAAACTTCCTTTTCAGATAAGCTGAAGGGGATGGTCTGCTTTGGCAGTTCCCAGAATATGCTTTGGAAAAGAATGATGTTCATTCACTCTTGCAAACGTTGTGCTCCTTCATTTGGGTATTTTCTATTATGGCAGATGTTCTCTCAAATCACTCAGATTTCTTCTTTAACTCTACTTTATGCCAGAACCTATTCCTAGGGCCACCTATTCCTGGGTGTCTGTGAAGGAGGAAGAGTAACCACTTCCCTCTCTCCAACTGATTCTTGTCAGAAGGGTTCTCCTTTGCACACCCATAGTTCTTTATTTGGAATGAAATGGACTTCACCCAATGTCTCTGAGAAAGGGCAGTGGCAGTGTGAGAAGTGCGTGCAAGGTACGTGTTGGGGAGAGTCAGCAGCGCTTGACGCATCTGTGTGCGTGAGAACATTTCCCTTTTGTGTCTCTGGGCTGTGGGTGTTTGTCGTCTTGTAGAGAGAGTTCTGTTTCACGTTTCTCCCTGGTAAGTAACAACTTCCTAAATACTTTTCTGCAAAACATTTGCTACTTTTTAGTTCTTACCGTAAGCAAAAAGGAGATTGCATGTTTGTGGGTGTGACGTTTACCCTCATTCTTAAACATCAAATGTTGTTTTGCAAAGCAATGCAAATAGTTTATTACAAATAGCTTGTTGTGTAAGACGTTAGCATCAGGAACTTAAGTGTATTACTTGTTGAAAAAAAGTCAGTTTTTCCCAAGAGGAATGTATTATTAGTCACACTAATACAGCTTTTCCATGTGTATTGTGAAATGTGAGAGGAGCGGGAACCTACTGTTAAAATATTTTGGTTTTTCGCAGCTGTTACAAGAGGGGTATCTACAATCTCCTATAAATGAGGCCATTTCAAGGTTTTTGTGATGAAGTGCATTACTGGAGAATAACCTAAAGGCAAAAATGTCACACAAAATAAAATAGGAATGCTAATTTTATCCCAAATAATTTGTTTATATGTTTCATATTCAACTACTTCACCCATTGTGCTAAACAGTAACTTCAATTAAATCCCAGGCATACTACAAAACATTTGTGTTACGGCCAGGACCACCGGGAGGCGAGTGCTTAGTGATAAGGTGCCGAATTCGGCAGGAGTATCCTCGTGCTCCCATCCCTGCAGAGCAGCAGTCGGCTTTTTTGGCGGTGTTGCGCTGTGCAGTTCTGTGATGCTTAAAGACAAACTTCTGCAGACAGCACGCCTAAGAGCACTGGCAGCGTCACATCTTCGTACACACGTTGCTTTCTGTCGCTACTCCCTTTCTCATTAACACCCTTTCTTCTTCCTGGTTTGAGCTAATCCTCTGGATTCTGTGCACATTTCGGTTATTTTGTTGGTCCTGTTCTTCATCTGAAGTCGATTTTTAGTCAGGATCTCTGCTTTTGTTTTTTTTTTTTTGTTGCTCTGACTCTTCATCAGTGTTCTTCCAGAGTTTCTCTATCCAAGCCCATCCTTTTTTCACTGTTTTTCTTTATCTTTTGCTAAGTGGTTTATGGAGATGAGGAGCACCTGTGCTTCATTAGAAAGCATCTGACCCTGCCAAAGCACGGTGACTGACGTAGCTCGTGTCTCTGCAGGGGTAGAAATGCCACACTGGGTATTTCAGGGCTCCGTGCTGAAGCATCATGGGCTGTTAAAAATCTAAGCAGCATCATTTACAGCTGCTGCACGGTTCCCAGGCTTCCCCACCAAAAAGGAACTCTGTGTACCCCGTCTCCAAAAAAACCTCAGCTGTAGCTAAGGCTGGTTCTGGTCCTGGCCAGGGAAAATTAGTCCTGGTCATGTCGATCATTACTTCTCTCTTACTAACCAACAGCGCGATAGGTTCTTTATGTGGTAGCTCACAGTTTTATTTTACGTTTAGATGCGTAAGAAGGGTTCCGTTCGAGGCACTTTGGCTGCTGACGTCTAGAGGAGTACTCTGTAGGTTCTGAGGCAAATCAAGCTGTGTAAGTCAACTGCTGGATGGAAAAGGAGAAAAGTGATTGATATTCTGATGGATGGGAATTGCTGGCAGAAATCACCTAAATGGACATGTACCCAGATGACACTCCTGGGCCTCACCTCCCTGCTGTTCGATAACCTTGTGGTGATCAACAGTCGGAGCTGACCCTCGGTGTCCAGGGTACCTGAGACCTTCGCCGCAGATGGGCGCTGTAATCGGCTGGGCAAGTGCTCGGTCCGGCGGCAGAATGCCCAAGGCGTTGGCCACCTAAGCTGGTTCTTTGTCCTTACCTAGTACAGAAGCCCAAAGCGCGTGACCCGTGTCAGCGCTGTGCTGGCACTGGGCGCTGCAGCCTGCACGTAGCCTTCTGGGCACAAACAGGGAGGTCAATGAGCAGCATTTTGCTACGCGCTCCGTAGCAAAGTGTAGGTGGACTGAGTCCACATAACATAGGGGAACTGTGGACTGTCACCTTCCAAGCACGTTAAGTTCTCAAAATCCAGTTCTACGCAGGTATTGCTAAATACTAAATTGTGTGAAAACTGTTACTGCGGGAACCAGCTTGTCCAAGACTTGCGAGCTCTTGAGTATTTGCGCCCAGGGCTTCACTGTTAGTGTTTCCCGCTGTGGCTGTTTTGATACCGCAGATGGGATCCCCAGCCAAAGCAGTTTTAAACTCCTGATTAACGTGAGGCTCCTCAGAGGCTGGAGCTGCTCCCCACCAGTGAGGACAGCACCCAAATTCAGATCCCCTCACAAGTCTTGCATTGCTTTGGTTCGATTTGCTCAGTCCCGGTGATGTTTTGACTGCCCTGCCCTATTTTTCTTGGAGATTAATAAAACTGCCTACTTGGAACTTACTGTTTGAGGAAACGGCTAATGCTCAATTGTGTATTTTCTTTCTCCACAGTTACGTAATCAAGGCCAAGTCCGAGGAACAAGTGCTGCCAATGATGAATGATGATGGATTTAACCGTCACATGCAGTGTTGATATACAAATGTGTGTGTGGATGCATGATTATTTGTATATAATTATATATACGCACATGCATACTGAAGGGGTTGTTAAGTGTCTCCAGGGTACCATAGCTGTCCTCAGCAGAGATTCAAAGGCAACTGCTTTCATTACGTATACCTGAAGCAAATAAAAATCAACTGAGTAGTGTCATTTAAAGGATGAATTAACTGCAGAATTACGCTAACTGGTATGTTTCATGAATGTCAATACTGGACCAATTTATTCCCTACTTGTTGGTTTGTTTTTTTTTTTCCCCCCCTGTCCTGAGTCACTCTGCTATAACTTTTGCCCATATCTCATTGTAAAGAACCAGATTCAAATAAGTTCATTTCAGTTTTGTGTCTTCCCCATGTGATTATTTTTGGAATAGGAACAATGAATGTATTTATAGCTATTTATTTCTGGATTGTCATTATCCTGTAGTCAAATCAGAAAAAAAAAATTTATTAGTGGAAATTGGAAGACTTTTACTGTTGAATAAGTTTAACCCAAACTTTACCCATTCACTGATTTAAAAGAAAAAAAAATCATGTTTTATTGGACTTTTGTACATTGAAATGCTAATGTTTTTTCTTCATTAAAATTGGCAAGATTAAGGAAAAATGGCTTGTGATTTGTAAAGTACTCGCAACTTGAAATTTTCCAGAAGCTGGCTTTTTAGACAAAGATACTGACAATATGTGCAGAGCCTCTCCAATAGGTGCTAGGCTGTGCGGTGGCAGTGATGAGGATGACAGCCCTTCCCTAAAGCGATGCTTCCTGTCCCCGAAACCGCCGTGTTCCAGAGCTCCACTTGGAAGCTATGCAAATGGTCTTGAGTTCACACACATTACGCGATGGGATAGAATGGTGATTTTAGCTCTTTTCATGTTGAAAATACACTTTAAAAGCGATGTATACTTTCAGATACGATGAAAGTTTAAATTGTAGCATCTGACGTGTTTCTCTGGTGTCTGTTAGGAGTAGGCACATAAGGAGGTGCAAAGAAGACCTCCTGTAGGTAACCCTCAAATAGGGAAAAGGTCTTTGGCATTTTTTAAGGAAACATTCAGAGCATATCATAATATCTATTATCAGAACGCTTGCTAGATCAGAAACAGGTTATTTTAAAAACGCTTGTTAGATGAAGTTCTGTCGGTGCCTGGTTTCCTCCCAGCATCCCCAGAAGCCTCGGCGGGGCAAGCCTTGCTTAAGCTTCCATCTCGCGTACACCCAAGAATTTTGGGCTCACTTTGCACCTCCTTTGCTCACAAAAGGAGTGACCTGATTTCCATTATGGGCAGTGACAAAATTTTCCTGAACTTCCAGGGAGGGCCAGGTCTGCCGTAGGCCTCACGCTGCTGGGGCAGCTGGGGGCTGCGAGCGCCAGGCACCGCCAGGGTGCGGGCATATGTTCCTCTCTCCTGTGTAACTGCGCCCTCCAGCCCTCTGCGCTGCAATTTTGGGCTTGGGGTTTTTTTCGTTTCTGGATTAACAGTTAAATGGTCACTTGTCCTCTCTAGCATCACGAGGTTGGTTTTGTAAATATGCAGAGACGTGCGCGTGTACACACACGCGTGTGGCTCTAAAGGTGCTTACAGCCAGGAGGGCTGCGGCACGCCTGGGAACCCGAGGGCTCGGTTCTCTCTTCAGCGCGGCGGTGCAAGTCCCGCTGTCACTAATGTGAGGGAAAGGGACCCTGCACCTTTCGTGGGTTTGGAGTAGTTGTGAAAACCTGAGCAAATCTCCTAGCAAATGTAAAATGTTCGGTTTACTTTGGCAGTCTCTGGTGTGACCTACAGTGAAACAGTCAATGAGATTTAATTAAATAAATTTGATCATAAAATGCTCTGTCTCTTGTCTTAGGTGTTAGCGTTTGCAGTACTGACCTGGCATTTAGTTCTGCTGAGCTGTAGGCGGAGGTTGGAAGTCCTCTAAGGATGCGCTCCGGTGGCCGTGAGCTCAAACCCGTGTCTGAATGGTAGAGGCGATCGGGGGGAGGGAAGGGCTTGGTTGGATTTTTGTTTTGTTTTAGGACTTCAGGCTGAGCAACACATACTGAGCTGGAACCTTGCCGCTGTCTGGAGGAGGGAGAAGATGTTTTGCTCTTGTTGCATGCTCTGACTGCTTGCCTTATCGTGCCAGGCTGGCGGTTCTGCAGGTGCTTGCGTTGATGCTCTCGGTCTACAGCGGCTCGAGCTGGCATTCGGGGATGGAGGCGTGGAAGTCGCCTTGCCCAGTGCAGAGGCTGATTTCCAAAAGAGTGGCCCCTTCAGACGGAGGCCATGAACACAGGCTCCTGTGGAACACCTGAGGAATTTGGGGGTCCCTTGGCAAGGATGTCTGAGAAACCTCTTAAGCAACCGACTTGCAGCTGCCTCTGTTCATTTTATGTTAGCTACTCCATTTCTAATTATTTCTCCAGAAGTCTGTGCTGCAGCCTTGCAGATCACTGACATCAGACTGAAGGGCCTGCAATTGCCCGACCGTTCCCCCACACCCCATACGTCTGTGTTCCATACTCGTATGACGAGTCAATGCATGTCAAACAGGAAGGAAGATGCACGTGCCTCCCTCCCTGGTCTGGCACTGGAAACCTGCGGCCGGCACCAGCCAAAGCTCCCGGAGGGTGGCACCAAGGCGGGGGGGGCAGGGGGAGACCCCCTCGATACGGGCAATTCACCGCTGCCGCTCGACGTCTGGGGAGCAGGACCTTGTGAAGGGGGGTGTTGGTGCACATCTGGGTGGTACCGAGGGCTGTGACCCCCACCTGCGGGGGCTGCGGATGGGGCTGCCCTGCTCTCGGAGAGCGGGTTTTGCACCAAGCCCCAGCCTGGCCTGGAAGGGCCCTGCCCAGTCTGGGCTTGGAGACCCCCAACCGCTGCCTTTGGGGGGCCTTTTTTTGGGGCAGACGCAGGGTGATGGGCAGCATCGTGCACAAGGGGTTTTTCTCGGTGGAAGGCTCAGAGCAAGGCGATGCCGCTTCCTCAGGGAATTCCCGAGGACATAATCTGACGCCTGACGCACCGCGTGGGCTGAGCGGTGCCGCTGCGACCTGCGCTCAGCTCTGCGTGCCGCCCTCCAAGGGCAGGCGGGAAGAGTTCCCCGCAGCCGCTCAGGCTGCCTCTGGCCGGCGCTGCTCTGCGCCATCGGCTCTCTGCGGGGCTCTCGGGCGCGGCGGAGCCCTCGTAGCTGCGTTAACCGCTCTCCCGTGCGGGCGTGGCTCTGCTCGCTGTGGTTGTGTGATCACCTGCTATAAATTGAAACTTGTATGGCTCCTTTTGGTAAATGCAAAATTGAATTCTTTTTTTACTACACAGCGTGTTTAGCTTCCAGATGGCAAACCACCATGAAGCAATGGAAGTGCAACGCAGTTTTGTTATAATGGATATGTAAACGGGATATTTATTCACTGCAGTAGACTGCTGTGAACCATATTCCAGCAGTAACCTTTTAAATCCATCACTTGGCTGCACATAAGTGTGGTCTAAAAGGGGCTTGTAAGGCATTTGTGGTTTGTGGGTTTTTTTTCTGGAGGATTTTTTTAATCATTGATGAGAAAGGGGAAGGTTTTCCATCTTTTGCCTTAATGTGTGGACTGGGGAATGTCAGAAAAAAAAATCTGCTGAGATTTGTGATTTTGGGTGCATTGGGCTTTTCTACCCTAACGCCTTTCTAAGCACTCTCTGAGGAGTCTGAAAATGTCTCTGATATGAGAACTTACTACGAATTTCCCCAAACTCCGTTGATTCAGCCATATTTAGGAGCCACATCACGTACTTGGAAGCACTCTTGCTCCTGTGTCGCACGCCGCTGGCAGGGGTGAGCACGGTTGGGTTCTCGGCCATTCCCTCCATTCCAGGATTCCCGACGCCAGCATCACCCGTTTCGCCATGTCCGTCACTGCCAAATCTGCATTTCCAGAGGTGAGCACCCGGGCACAAAGCGTAGCTGTTGTCTTCACTCTTGGAACAACCCTCAGGCTGTTCCTGTGGATGCCTGGGGCAGCTTGCAGGCTGCTTCCCTTTTGTACGGAGGAGCTGAGGGCGCCGAGGTGATCTCCCTGCAGGACCGAGGCTGCGCTGGTCTCCATGAAGACCCGTGGGGCTCAGTGCCAGGTTACTTGGGAGCAATGTCATTCCTCCCCCTGCCCCCTGTTTTCAGCTTCTTTAAGAAAAAAACCAAAGCAAAACCAAGGCAGAAAGGCAGGTAGGTGCCCCCCTTGTCCTCGGTGGCAGCTGCTGCCTCTCCCGCAGCAAGACGCCGTGACGCCATCTCTTCCTTCGGCCGCTACGTTTATCCAGCAGGATCCAAGGCCCAGCACGGTTTGCACAGGGGGAAGCGCTGGCGCCCAGCTCTCAGTGAGATGGTGGCAGGGCGGTAGAGACTTCAGGTCTGACACTGATGCTTCCCCTCTGCAGTAACTGCCACAGCGAACAGAGTTAATGTTCCCATGAAATTCTTAATTAAGTGAAGCCTGAGCCCCTCTGACCAGCACTTCAGCGGGGCCAGTCCTCCCTGTAAGCGAGTGCTTCGGCAGAAGCGGCTGACGTTATTTTTAGCGCACCCTTGCAAAACCGCTGGCTACAGCCTGTCTTTGCTTGCAGCTCAGGGCCTTGACCCTGACCGGGCGCCGCGGTGAGGAGCAGACGCGGGAGGGACGGGGATGCGGCTGTGAAACACCAAGCTGACTAATTCTAAGCAGGAAAGAAATTCCCCAGCATTTTATTAAACTTTGGGAGAAAATGGCTCCAAACAAGCCGGTGCTTTCTGGCTGCCCCTGCCCGGTGGGTCCCAGGGGAGCCAGACCCAGACCCAGCTGCCCCTACCCCCACCTCCTGCGCCCGAAGTCTCACGGCACGTCGGCGCTGCGTGCAGGCCCGCTTGAGGGCCTCCTCGGGTCCCTCTGCACGGGACAGTTTAGCCCACGGTCATGGGCAACACAGGCGTTTGAGCCTGGGGAATAGGGGGATAGCGCAGAAAGTGCATTTACACAGAGAAAATAATCCTACCTGCCCGCTCAGCCCCTCCGAAACGGCCGCTGGGGACCAGGCATGAGCCAAGCCCCAGGGCTGGCGCCTTCCTGGGGCCTTTGCGGCTGAATGCCGTGGGCGTATGGCAGCTGGGGGGGCCCGGCCCGCGTGCCCGTGCCAGAGGTGGTCTCTGCTGCTTAGAGGCTCCAGCGAGGCGAGGGGCTGCGAGCCCTCGGGAGGTGCCGGCTGCTGGGCTGGGGCATCAGTGAGCCTCCCGCCAACGTTTATCTTCTAAAGCTTTCTCCCAGGCACTGTGAATTTGTGTTTTGGAGGAAAACCCAGATTTCCCTGTCCAAGGCAGGGCTCCGGGCTGGCCCCCTCTGAGGATGCAGCCCCCAGTTTTTTGTTTTGATGCAGCAAAACCCCCAGGAGCTCAGGGCCGGCGTGAGAGCGCTGCTGTTCCTTTCTGTTCACCTGCTTGTGTTGGAGGAGCTTTCTCAGGCTCCCGAACCAGCAACAGAGTCTTTGAGCCACTGTGAATGTTTTTGAAACTGACCCTTAACTTCATGTTAATTTTGGCTACAAGGAAAAAAAAAAAGGAAAGGTGCTGAAAGGACTAAAGGTAACTCACAGGTGTCTGTCTGTAGCAGTTCCACATGTTTGTTTCTCTTAGGCCACTTAGACCACACAGAAGTGGATAAGTGAACGCGTCCGAGCGCTGCGCCACCGGGGAGGGAGAGGGCTCTGCGTGCGGGCGTGTGCCAGCGTGGGAGCACGAGCGCGGGAAGGCCAGAATCGCAGAGCGACCCGGCCGCCGCGGTTTGCTGTGATGGTAGAAATCTCTCCAGAGATCTAACAAGGATTTTTTAAGCACCTGCCAAAATGCAGTTGTCCTGGCTGGACTCTCACAGCCCACGTGAAACATTCGGTATGAGGGGGAAAAAAGCTGTAAAGGCTTTTGTGTTGCATTTCCATAGCACTTCTAACACTGAAATGAATTCAGTTCCTGCTGTGCTTACACATCTGCTCCACAGGGCAAAATCCTGCTCCAGAGCAGTTTTGCAAGACCAAATCCTGCCCCGTCCTCCCCCCCGAAATGGGACTGGAACAGCTTCTCAAGAGAGGTTGGTGTGGTTCCCTTAAACACGGGTGAACTGTGCTGAACCCCCGTGCATCCCGCATTGGTAGCTCCAGCAAACGAGCCTGCGGGCAGGCAGCAACGCGCTGGCACCTTCGACACCGTGGCTGTCTGGCCGCGGGCTGCGTCAGCCGGGGGGTGCTCGGTCCAGCCTGGCCAGCGCCGCAGGGGTCTGCTCTTGTGATCGGTGACTCGGGACTGAGATATTTAAAATCTGTGCTCGGCAAATGACAGGAGTGATCGTCAGACGTGGCGAAGGACTGTTTGCAGACAGAG